TGTTCTTGCCTTTAGGATTATTCCCTTATGCCACACTTATCCTCTTTGGCTTCCAAAGACGGCGTATAATCTGGCGTACATCTGGTGCGTTCTTATACGTTTTATACGGCACTCCATTTGTCCAGGGGCTAATGCTGATATTGCTCGACGTAAGGGTGGAATTCAGGATGTTGCCGCCATGGATAGCTAACCCACGACAGGCCCAGTAAACTCTGTTCAATCAGACGAGTCACTTCTATGTTCAGAATAAACATTAGGCCATTTCACTAACATTAACATTTAACTTTTAAGATTAGTTAATCCCTAACATATTGACAAAAACTTGTACCAGACTTGAACTGCTGGAGCAAAAAAAAACCATTCTGTTATAAACAATTTGTATTTTACTGGTCAATATTTCCACCCAGAAAAACTGAAGAAAAAAGCATTACAGCCCAAATACATTCAAAAGTATTGAAAGATATAAAAGTGTTCATTAGATGCAGGATTGGAAAACGGTTTATTGTCCAGTTAATTGTGCTTTAACAGAAAACATGCTCCCATTAGCTGGTCTTACCATTGCATCATTTTGTGAGCGAGGGCGTCGACCACGCTGTGGACAATTAGCACAGGTTATCCACTAGAAAAGATGACCACGACTTAGTTCCTGCTGCCATTTTTCCCCCCTTATTTCGGAATGACATACAACACAACAAATCACAAACGACGCGGGGATAAACAGCTACAAGAGCAGTCGGAGAAAAGAACCCAACTGTTAAAAGAGCAATAAAGAGGAAAATTGGACTGATGGAAAACAACGGGAGGGTTTGGAACAAAACCTGGTCCATAATTCATTTCACTCATAATGGCTTCATCGGCCCAAAGAGCTGCAGGAATAGTGCAGCCATCGCCGGGTAACCTGATCCTCTGTAACCCAAAGAAAGCAGCTGGAGACACAGCCCTGTCTCCAGGCAAACCACACTGGCCGAGACTGCACTGGATGTTATTATAGCAGCTGCTCTTTGTCTGAAACCTACAAACACACCCGCACAAATATAGTTTTAGACTAGAAAACTGTCTCTGTGATGACCAACCGATGTCCGATCCCTGTCCTGTCTGTTCAATCTGTAAGATTTAAAAACAAAAAAATACAGGGAAATGAAAGAAAAATGTCAATTTTCACTGAGGGAAATGTGGTTTTGGAATATCGAGCTCTTCAGAAAAGCTGTAAAGACCTGTGGTTTGTGCAGACGTGGCAGCTGCACTTGTGGTCAGTGCATTGTGTATGTGTTGGCCGGGAGCTGCAGGACACTATGACAGAGTGAGTGCTAACAGAAACAGTGCGGTTTTAATAGAAGAATGACTGGCATCAGATGCTGCTGCTGTGAGGTTTAACACACCACCCCGGGACTTTCTGCGTCTCCTCTGATCTGGGCCTCGGCCGTGTTTCTAATCACTCACGGCAGCAGTGTTTCTAACACACTTCACATATTATGACAAGATATGTTTCTGTCAGAACATTTGTGGGTTTGAGAAGTGAGGTTTGAAACGATTTTATAACATTTATAAAGAATATTCCCAGCCTGAAACAATTTCCTGACTCATGATGTAGTTTGTGAAAAATGATCAAGTGTTGGGGTCTCCAAAGACCCTCAAACTGATGGAGATGGAGAAAGTAGCTCTTCAAGAAGTGTTAGGGTTACTGCCCAGGATGCACAATGACTTTTTAAAAACATTCTAAAGGCCGATACTAATATCTGATAACATACCTGGAGGAAAAATATTGAAATAATGTCCATTATTTATTGGTATAAAAAATAAGAGACCTTTAGAACTGAAATGCTTTGCGCAAGGATTTAATTAAAAAATAACTAAATAAAATAAAAAATAAATGAATAAATACAAAATATAAATAATCCACTGCCACACATTTCATTCAAATATTTCTATGTAAACATGTCCCGATCAACCTGATAATTATCTGACTGTTAATTATGATATACACCGAATAGTAATTTGCTTTCTACAATGGTTGATGTACCAAAAATGTTTTTTTTCTCATGAATATGCATATTGCTACAAATCTGAAAGCAAATTAATGCATTTCTATTCATTATTTTGGGAGACCTTATAAATAAATGTGAATTTATTTTTCTGAATTTTAAGCACAAATTTAAGCATATTTTAATACAAATTAGTGCAGTTTTTCTTTTCACTTTTTAAATTTTTTTTTTAAGAAAAGTATTGGTACAGTATGTTGCTATTGATCAATGGTTGACATACGGAAAATATTAATCCATGTGTAATTTTAAGCACAAAAACACAGCTACATTTTTTAACACAAATCAGGCCTTTTTGTATGTAATTTTTTTATTTTTAATACTTTAATAGATAGTTATTGGTCTAGAAAGTTACCTTTGGTCAATGGTCCACGTACCAAGAGTTCAAATCTTAAACAAGGACATTGATACAGATTTGGAGGTAAATTAGTTGATTTTTATTTGTTTTTGGCAAAAGTTTATTTTTTAAGACTTTATCAGAAAGTTATTAGTATAGTAAGTTACTTTTGATCGAAGGTTGATGTACCAAAAATTTTCTAGAATTTCTTACATGACTTTTTCGGTGATTTTCCCATCTGCCTAGGACGCCTCTCTCCTTCTTGTTTTAACTTGAAAATCCACAAAAATGGTTCTGGGTTGAGAGGTTGGACATTTTTTGCATATTTTGAAAATAAAATACCACTGTGGTCTTTTTTTTTTTTTTTTTCGTTGTTGTTGCTTGTGGTCAGTGGCAGCAGCCCACTGCTGGGGTGTGGTGGACACACTGGGTAGCTTGGCAGCCGGGCGAGCCCCCGCCAGGACTTTAGATGTGGTGATGTGGAGCAACCGTTGGGAAACTGAGAGGGTGTGTGTTTAGAAGAAGCAGAGGAAAATAGGGGTGTGTCTGTGTGGTAAATGAGGAAGAGGAGGAGGAGGAGTGCTTTGTGTGTCATTGTTTTATTCTATAGTGTAGATCAGGATTCCCCTTCCGGTGAAGTTGGAGAGCGAAGCCAAGTGACATATAACGTGTCTGTGCTGACAAAAGGACGACAACAATGAGAGGTGCTCGTGTTTATGGCTGTGTGTGTGTGTGTTTCCTTCAAGTCTGACTATTGTGTCTCATGTGTTGTGGAAGAAATTAATTTTAAATTTGTGTGTCTGAGGTGTCCCGTGGCCACCGAAGTGAAGCAGACGCTATTAACTATTCAGGAGAGCAGGGTTTCCCTTCACTCCGCTGACTTCTGACTGACACCCTCATATCTGTTCATGGAAACACCTTTGTGTGTGTGTGTGTGTGTGTGTTTGGCTGACAGGGTGAGGGGATAATGTTTCCCCCTTTGTGTTGCCTCCCTCATTGACCGTGTTGCTTGATTTGTGAAATTAGGCCGGCGTCTCCTGCACGCGGGTTTGTGTGTATACGTGTATGTGTGTGTGTGAGTCCATCAGAATCAGAATCAACAAATACTTTATTATTTACTGGGGGTGAGGGGCCACCTGGTGTTACTGCTGCAGGCACAGTATTCACTGAGTGTAGAAAACATGAGGAAAATAATGTATGACAAGATCAGACAGGTTAAAGAAATATAACAAGTTTTAACATTTAAAAAGAAGAAAATAGAATATGTTTAATAGTTTTTCAAATAAGCATAAAATCAAATATATAAATGCAAGTATATAAATTATTATGGATGGTATTTTAAAAATGTTTACAATTTTTTACAATTAAGTGCATTCTTTTTTTTAAAACGCTTGTTGAAACTGTAATACCAACATATGTCCACTGGGTGTCAGTAAAGTATTTCTTATGCTGATATATTTCTATTTATTCTTTACATCATACAAGTTAAAGTAACGATTCCTAGTTCTTATCTTAAATTTAAGAGCGTGGGATTTTAGTGACCTACTTTTTCATGCAAACTGACTGGAGGACAGGACAGGAGTCATGACAGCGTGCACATGTATGTCTTCTGTCATTGATCTGCTCTAATGGATTTGCCTCGTCTCTGATTATTCTTTCCAGTTTCCAGAGTGTGGCTTCTACGGAATTTATGACAAGATTCTTCTGTTCAAGCATGACACGTCCACCAGCAACATCCTGCAGCTGGTCAAGGCTGCCAGTGATATTCAGGAGGGAGATCTGGTGGAGGTGGTGCTGTCTGGTGAGGAAACTGCTCCTGTTGGCTCTCCTCTCCTCATCATTTATTTATTCATATGAATTTGTGTGTTTCATCTTATTTATCTGTCACGTGTCATTTCTGTTTTCTCTTTAAGCTGCTGCCACATTTGAAGATTTCCAGATTAGGCCTCATGCACTTAACGTGCACTCATACCGCGCCCCGGCGTTCTGTGATCACTGTGGAGAGATGCTGTTTGGACTGGTCAGACAGGGCCTGAAGTGTGATGGTGAGAATAAGCCATGTTCTAAAAACAAATGCACCGGGTGAAACAAATTCGCTCTATGTTCTACTGTACAACTGCGCTGTTGTTCTGCTGCCCCCTGCAGGATGTGGGCTGAACTACCACAAGCGCTGTGCATTCAGCATCCCCAACAACTGCAGCGGAGCTCGTAAACGCCGCCTGTCCACCACCTCCCTCAGCAGCAGCCAGTCCCTGCGCCTCTCCACCACCGAGTCCGTGTACAGCGTGGGCACGACCTCCACCTGCGCGGAGGAGACTGTTCTCATCCGCTCACACACACAAATGGTACCGGTCGACACACACGTACACACACGCACATACACTCTCTCACTCATCTGACAGTTAAAAATGAAACAAAACAAACAACTTCTATAAACAAGTCTGAAATACACTACACTGAAAGTTTGATGAGAAAATAGTGTCTTGAAGTTCAGACTCAGTTTACTGCAGGATGAGTTTAAAAACAGATTAGTGTTTCAGTGGAGTCTACAGTCTACAGTACAACAAACATCAGTCAGAAATATGTCAGAAAAGACAGAACTTTAAAGTTATTTATTATGAACATAACAATTCAAACATTTTAAGTTTGTTGGTATTTCAAGATTTTTAGTACATCTAATATCTGTTTTCAGTTGTAGCTCTATTCTTTCTGTTGAAAATTTTAACTCACATGAGGCAAGTATTGTTTTTGATGAAGGTTTTTGCCTATTCTGTTTCAGAAAAAAAAGACAATTGAATATGACAAATACATCATGTCATTGTAATACACAAGTACAAATACATAGTATTACATAAAATATTTAGTAAATATTTATTATCGTATAGAATATAGTTATTATATTTATTAAATACTGTTGTAAAATTAAATACTATATACTAGTGTTTCCCAACCTTTTTTCAGCCACGGCACATATATATCAATATTAATATTCTTGTTTAAATGACCTCATAACTGAACTAAAATCTTGGTATGTTTAGATAAAGACAACGCTGATATACTAGCAGGAATTGAAGAAAGACACTCTCAAAGATCTTCTTCAACAGATTTTTTTTGTTTTTGTTTTAATAGCCATCTGCTGCCACCTGGCGGAAGAGGATTGAATTGCTCTGCCTGTCACGCATTGACGAACAAAGAACAAAACATTTGCAATAAACGAATAATAGTTTTGAGACCAATTAAGTGACAGTGGAAAATTTTCCACGGTACACCTAATGATCTCTCATGGAACACTAGTGTGCCACGGCACAGAGGTTGGGAACCACTGCTCTGTACTACTATGTTGTAACCCATCCCTAAGGAATGTGAACTCTGTGTTTTCTTACGTATCTTAAATGAGCCTCTCATGTTGGTTTTATGTTTCCTCGACTCCTTCAGCCACGTACCCCCAGTGACGCCCGGCGCTTCTACACATGCCGACCGGTCCATCTGGACAAAATCCTGATGACCAAGGTAAAGGTTCCTCACACGTTTGCCATCCACTCGTACACACGACCGACGGTGTGTCAGTACTGCAAGCGGCTGCTGCGAGGCCTGTTCAGGCAGGGCTTACAGTGCAAAGGTGAGTCGGTGCTGTTCCACACTCGTAGCCAAATCTAATAAGCAAGCATTAGAATGGACCAATGAGTGAATCGGCTCTGCTTCCCCACAGACTGCAAGTTCAACTGCCACAAACGCTGTGCGTACAAGGTTCCCAACGACTGTCTAGGAGAAACTATTGGAGGTGAGAGCGTTTTTCATTTTTTTTACTTTCTGTTGTTTTTTTGGTTTTCAGCTCATCTAAACCTGCATGACGTCCATAGAAAAATAATTTCTCATCTGCATGTTGCCATTGTTTAATCTACTGATGTTGCTTAATATACCTGCATACAATATAACACAGCTAACAAGAACCAAACTCACTGGTGCTAATGTTCTTATCTTCCCAGAAAACAGAAATAACTGTGGTGAGTAGAACTCTGCATGTGAAGCTGCAAGTATCCTCTGACGCTTCGAGCAGTGGTTCCCGAAACTTTTCTGCAGTGCCCTCTTTTTGTAGCTTGAACTACTGCCGTTACCTTGCACGTTGACACTTTCCCAGCTATTGCTTTAAAAATCCACTGAGTTTTTGAAAAAAAAAAATTCTGAATACAGGAAATAATATTATAACCAAAAAATTATAACCCTGACCCCTACTTTGGGAACCACTGGCTTAGTGATGCTACTACAAAGCAAACAGACATATTTACACATATGACATGAATGTATAAAAACGATGACCCCTAAACCTCATCGTTTTTTGGTCTTAGACATGTTGAGTCCCAGTGTGGACCCTGAAGTGCCCATGGACTACACCAGTGAGTACGACAGCTCCGACAAGTCCTCGATGGACGACTCGGACGAGGCCTGCAGCATCCCAGGATCCTTCTCTCCTGAGAACAACCAGGATGGAACCAGTGGAGATCAGAAGTAGGAGCCAGATTTAACACACACACACACACACACATGTTCAAGAGTGAAAGAGAGAGAGACATCAACGTCAGGAGTTACATTCACCCCGCTCTCTTCTGCTTCAGTGTTTACATCCCACTGATGAGGGTGGTGCAGTCTGTCAGACAGACGACCCGTCGCTCCAGCACAGCCATTAAGGAAGGATGGATGGTTCACTACAGCAACAAGGACACACTGGTATGAAAACAAATCTCCCCCCCCCCCCCCCCCCCCCCCCCCCCTTTTTTTCCACTCTCACCTCCCCCCCCCCCCCACAACCACCC